ACATGTTTTAGTTATGAAGTAAAATATTGCACATCAATTTCTACATTGGTACAAATGTTGACTTAAGGTATTATTACCCCGCTTCCTATTGAGGTTGCTTGTTATTTATTTTCCATGATGACGTCACAATACTATGACGTAGTCGGTTATGTTTTATTCATGGTTATTGTATATGTATACATGTATCTATATACATATATGGTGGTTTATGTTCTTAGCCATCGTGTACAAACTGTTATTTTTATATGTGTTTGATGTGCAATCCTATATGCTATTTGTATACGGAATAAAGTGAATTGAATTGAATTCAAAATTTTGATCTGATTAAGGATGAATGATCACAGGGACCCGTACCTACGGGACAGCAGATCTCGGGGGGTCGGGATCCATATTGGCTGTATAACTCTATGACCTGATAACTACGCGTGTTGTACTGTTCTTGATTTTTATTTACATGTCTAATAAAGAACAGGCTAGTCAAGGCAGAGCTCATCTCAGAAAGTATTATAAAATAGCTTCCTTCTTCTCAACCAAAAAATCGTAATGAAATCTTGGATCATAAAAAGAAATCCCGTCATTTGTAAAATTGTTTACTCGTTGTTTTAAAAATTTATATTCCTGTTCTTAAAAAATTAAAAATAAATAAAATTCTTTAGACTAAACACGAGGACCTGAGTATTTGTAACAGCCTATCTGGATGACTGTATTTTTTATTCCTTAAAAACACCTGTGTAATATTAAATATATGTCTTTGTTATAATGAGACGTTTTAGGGTATAGTAACACTACAAATTGTCTGATACTACTGAATAAATTGTTATATAGGTGTCAGACAACAGAAAAAAAACTGGAACAAAAATAGCCTCTCCCGCGGACACCAGCAAAAAAATTTGTCAATAATATTAAAAAATGTATAAAAATATCAGGATAATATTATATAATTTATGTAGAAGTAGTAGCTAGTGACATCATCAGAATTATCTCCCTTGGATGATACACCCTGTCGTACCTGTGTGTATGATTAATAGACAGGTAACGTGTCAGAGATGTCAGCATCACGTCGTCAAATATAGATGACATGTCAGCTTCAGCATCAAATTTTCCGTTCTCAGTTTATGTCTATTGATTTACCTTAGTAAATTTTTGTTTTGATTTTTTTTCAAGTTGTATGAGTTTTATTGTTTTCCACTGAAGTATGTGTTTTCTAGAAATATATCTAACAAAAACATCATTTTATGACCTACTGCTAAAATTTCACTTCGTTGAATCATCCCTTGAAGAATGAAAAAAATATGTTCTAACTTTCCCAATGGGAAAATAAATAATAATGCCTTTTGATATTTATCCGATACAATTCTCGCCGATGACGGTAATTACGGTCCAATATTAGAAATAAGTTCGGTTTTCGGTATCAATATGTTTAATGATTATCGATTTGAAAGAATATGGATTATCGATAATCCACGACATACTCTGTGTAATACACAGATCATAGAGACCCGTCCCCTCGGGACGATGGACCCGAGGGTCGAGACAAATATTGTTATGTATCTCTAGGATCTAATCGCTACACGCGTTTTACTGTTCTTGAACTAATTTACATGTCTGGTGACGGGCGAGATTTGTCAAAACAGAGCTGAACTTACCGATTCAAATAAGCATTGGAATTTTGTTATACTCAGACATATCACAAATGACACCAAACCTGTAAAACTGAGGTTTTTTTGAGAAAGAAATATTTTTAAAATATTTATTTATTTCGATTTTAAAATACTGGTTGTCAAAATCATACCATCGATAGTGTGATTTCAACATAAAGTGTTCATGTTACACCATGAATAATTAAGTACACATAAATAAAAAAATTGTTCTGTAAAATTTGAAAATCTGTAGATGTGTGTGTATAGATATATCATGCAATGACCAGTACTAACGATAGTTATAAACAGTCACAATGTTTAATTGCATCATAAGTGTATCACATGTATGTGTAAATACTATTACACTAAATTTTTATATACCATATGCATGTTTTATCATAAATTCAAGTTTACATAGTCTCTGTACTCTATTGTAATACGTTGATAATGTATTTCAAAAATGATAAGTATGTTATATTTTTTCTTAAAATCTTTTTAGTATAGGAAATAAAAAAAAAATTATAGTCACAATATGCTATCTAGACAAACGTCACCTAATTACCTCCTCAGTGATGTAGCCCTGTCGTACCTGTGAGTTAGGTTGAGGGTCACGTGTCAGTGATGTCAGCATCACGGCGTTAGTTACAGGTGATATGGGAAACGTTCTGATCCGTTTATATGATGTTGATATTTTGTTGGTGGTGTAAAAATATCGGGGAATCATGGATTAATGCCTTACTGTATGTTGCTGATTTATCTTGATTTTCTACGACAGGTCATGGTCTGTCTACTGTTGTTTTATCAACACTTAAATCATTTATTTAAATAAATTAATTAAAATCTGTATTTGGAGACATATTAAACAAAAAATTATGAAATTTGAAAAGTTGTTTCTTAAATATTTGCCGAAACAAATTAACGATGTAAGGGTAATTGAATAAATTTCGAGATAAGACTCATCAACTGTATGATGGAGACATATATTTTTTACAAGATATGAGATATTACAGTATACGGATTATCGGTATAAAAGACGTACGGATTAATGATAATTTACAGAAAAAGATCACAGAGCCCGCCACTTTCCTCAAGATAGCAGATCCCTGGGGGTCGGGATTTGTATCTCCAGAATCAGATAATAACAGATGTTAGTAAGGCGCTGTTGTCGACGAATTAACACGTCTGGGGACAATCGAACGTCTTCAAATTTAGTGAAATTATATATATATATATTTTTACGTTTTGTTTTGTTTTTGCTTTTGTTTTTCTGGGTTTGTTTGGATTTTTAAATTTTTTTTCAAACAAATATTCTTTCATAGAATACAATACATAAAGATGTTTTATTGAGGGAAAAAACATATGCTTTCATGACGTGTATTGAAATTATATCATTTGCTTAATACCAAAATTAATCTTAGTATATACATATTTTGATTCCTGATTTTTACTTAAAACATCTCTCTTTCGTAAATCTGAGTTCATCTGGTTGTAGGAGGATTAAGTATGAAGCCTTAGGTGCATGCACACATGAATGAATAAAAATATAAAATTAAGCTATCCGTCATTTCTAAATTAAACCCGAAATTATTTGATGTATCCACATCAAACGACAGTCTGACTCTGTGTTATGTCGACATATGGAGAAAACAAAGGACTTTTCTAGCCACCCCATATTGTTATCTAATTTATGGGGAATTTTTATTGAACTTTCAAAGTGTAGGTCGGGATAGGTATCCTATACACTATCTAGGAGGAGGGACTCAGACCTGTATCTCCGGGGAGGGGCGCGGAATGTTTGGAAAGTGACGAAAGAAAGTAGAGATTATCAGAATATCTGATATCTCTGCGCCTTATCTACACTGAAGTAACGTTACCAGAATACGGAACGTTTGAAGTGAATGACAGCTCATTGGGATATTAAACGTTAAATTGATTCAACTCCGTCTGAATCAAAAGAAAGGTTAAGTATTTGCATTAAAACTTTCAAACAATTCGTCATGATTCGTGAAATCATTATGTGATTTGATCAGTGAATGAGATTTCCATTCCTTTAGTTTCAGTTTCGAGTTATTCCAACAGTTACCGTAACTGTTATCATCTTTAGTGTTACATTAGACATAATTTCTATATATACGTGTCTCGGTTAGTACCGGGTTTTGAAGTGGCGGGGGGTAGCCATAGCATATAACAGATTGAGAAAAAAATCAAGGTGTTTTCATCATCTGTAAGTTCGGTATTACCTAAAAGCAGAATTTCTCCAGATTGGCCTCATCGTGGGTGATTAACTGCATAATTTAGGTTAATGATATAATGAACGGTTTTCCTGAAATTCGCACAGGAAAGTACGGGGATGGTCAATGTGATACTTGTGTGTCGGCTGTGGGGTAGGGGGGAAGAAGGATGGTGTGGTGGGGTCTCCTAACACATCAAAGTCAGATCGTGGACATATCGTATTTACACAGATAGTTGTGAAGCAAACATACTGAGCTATCATTGCCCTAAAGTTAACGTCCATAAAATATCCATTTACTGTCATTAAAATCGAGCTGTACTCTCTTAGTACTAAACACACTACGTGAACGGTTTATGGACTTTGTCGATTAGTTTTCCTATTTATTCATCGTCTTAGGCTGTAAGCGTTCAAAAACATTTTTCGATTCATAATTATTCTAAAAAGGAAAAATGAAAAAAAGAAAACTTTAAAAAGGATTAGAAACCAGAATATTTTCTTTCAAGTATACAGAATTCCAATTTTCTTTGATTTATTCTAAATATAATGCACAGGTATAAAACTTTCAAATAATCCACATGTAAATAGATTGTTTTATGAGCTAATCTTTTCACTTCCAACGTAAAGCTATCTTTTCCCATTCACCCGATACCACTCACTCGTTACCTGGTCAGGGGCGGGGCTTAACCGGACTACAAAGGCGCCGCGTATTGACCTTTCCCTATGACACAGGATGTCGCGTCCAATCAAATCAAGTGAAATCATGTGCTGGTTATGGCGAGGGCGGGGCTTGACCAAATATGAAACATGACTTACCATAAAGCACATGCGACCTTATAAATAGGCAGAAACGAACAGGTGTATGACAACAAGAGAGTTGTAGACATAAATAACAGTGGCCAAAATTAACGGTTTGTAAATTACATCTGATGTTAAAAAGTGGGACTTATTTTGGAAACATTTGGACGTTCATTAATCATTACCAGTCGTGAAGAATCTAGTGTAAGGAGAAACAACATTTATTACTGTTCCAAGTTCATCATAGAATTAGGATATAGTTCCGTGTGTATTCCGTTCGGACTTGTGTTTTACCGCGGATTGCTGGTGTCTGGACTTTTTTCGGTGTGACAATGCCGGTACTGTGTCAGGAGAACAATATGTTTCCAACTGGTCGTCATCCCTCCCCTGTCACTAATTACACCTACGGACATTTCCCCGGGTATCAGGGTACCCAATATAGCTCCCAGACTCAAGACTTCTCGCAATATGTGGATCCTAATACGGCATTTCAGCAGCAGTATATGTACGACGGGACTGCATCTAGCCCGTCCATGGCCCGGCCCCAGGGGATGGATGAATGGATGAACTATTCAGGGATGCCGACAACCACCACCTCCTCCCACAGTCCACAGTCCATGCACTACTCATATCGCCCCGGAAACATGGTGTACAACCAACATCCAACACCCGTGCCCCAGGGGAATCAGACACTTACTATCCTGGGGAGTCCCCCTCAGTCTGAAGGCTCCCCTACCTCTACCACCTCCTCCGGTAGTGCTGGTTCTCCGTCCAATAAACAGCTCCGACCCCCCTTCGACTGGATGAAGAAAGCCTCTTATACTACAAGTGCACCAAGTGCAGGTAATTTATGGTTTCATTTGTTTCAATTTGTTCTTCTCAATTGATTTAGTTGTCACGGAATTGTCAATAGTTAAATACAAATGGAAAATAAACGGTTTTTGGTTCTGAATTACAATACCCTGGAATATTATTCTGTTGGTAGTTTAGAGAAGTATATCTTAAACCAAATTTATTTTCTGATTTTTAAAAATATTACAAAACTGGTGTTGATTTTTCATATTTTAGTAAACTAAATATATAATTATTATATTATAGTTGTCCTTTCCTTTTTATTACTACGTGCAGATAAAGTAATTATATCCTTATTATTACTTTACAAAAATAAAGGGCGGTAATCAGATAAAAAAAATCTTTATTTATCACAATAAATTGCATAACTAATTGATTTTCATTTCTTCAGTAACTCTTCAGTAAAACAGGAACATTTAATCTTACGAGCATGTCTGGTCAGTTTTTTCCACTTAAGATAAATGTCCGTCACATTTGTTATCCTATTCAGTAATGTCCTTTGTATTTATATCATACGTCCGTGGTGATGTGTAATTTACTAATACTCTAATCTCCTATTTTTATTTTACTTTTATTCTCGTTTTTGAAATCATTTAAATATCTCGAGAAAAAAAATGTCTAAATCAGGGAATATCAAAAACTTTCATTCCACATTACCAAGTGATGGTATTATTCAGTAATGTATTATGTACCAGTCCAGACTATAAAAAATTGTACATGGTGATGTGATTTTCCTATCTCCGGTGCGATCTTTGAATAGTCACTTTTATTTGTTGTGGTCAATCCTGGTAATTCCGGATAATCTGGGATTGTCATTGACCACCCTCGACCACCCGTTACCTGTAATACAGGTGAGACATACTCTTAATTGGCTTTGACAACGACTGTTTTGTTATAACAATTGAACCTAGGTATATAACAAATACGTGAAGATAATACGTAGACTTTTTCCTGCACCAACAATAGTGACATAACGGTCGTGTTAGATATTTTCGTACCTATTCAGCAAGGATTGATTTCCAATCTAATTTTGTCGCTTCGGCCAGTGGTCACAATAGACTGACCAAAGATCAGAGACACCTACACTCAGACGTTAATTTGTCGAGTTAATACGCACTGACCATCACAGCCATTGTCCAATCAACAGCAATTTCAGGTAAATCTCCCGAAGATAGGTTACCTTATTCATGTCATTTCATTTCAAATACACAAGGAATTTTTCACACGAAAAGAAATTGGCATGATTTTTACAATTTTCACTTGATCGTACAAACAGAACAACACACATCTAATTTATTACCAATGTAGTAATATTTACACAAAATTTCTTAGAAATATGCACACGTCACATTTAAAAAAGAGATAAAAAATCATATATTATTTTTTTGTTTATCCTTTTAGAACGACAATATCAAGTCAACTAGTAATTAGATAAATTAAATGAGAAGTTGAAATTACGAATAGTTAAAAAGTTGCCAATTTATGAATTTATGCACCGCCCGTATAGACAATTAGTGAATGTCATTTTGCTAATGGACAATATGTTTACGGTCCATTTTATGGAGGGAAATAATTACAATGATTCTAGAGGAACTGTGAGGTTGTAAAACACTGGGATTGTAAATCTTCTCGAATATACTAGGTCGGTTATAAACCTGTAAATAGACAGGTACGTTAATAATTATCAATGTCTCGACATTTCAAATAATTTTGAAGTCAATCTATAAAAAATTGACCAGTGAGTTTTTCTTTTTTTGAGATATTGATAAACACATAGCTTGCCGTGATTACCGAGACAGAAATATTTATCATTTCAATAATTGAAAAAGAACAATACAGAACAGTCTTAACACAATTATTCAGAAAATAAATCAATGATTATAAAGATATTGAACATTTATTGATAAATTATATTTTCTGTAAGTATTTAACTTGGTGCGAAATAATTTATCTCGTTCTTTTGTTATATTTAGATAAAACACCATTTAATCTCTCTGCCATGGAGCATCACCATCAGTTAGTAAAAACGGTACCAAAGGTTTTAGATAGTACATGTACACGAGAATAGCCATGTTATAAATTAGTGTAAGCTTTAATTAATTGGTCACTTTATCTATCGAAATTGAATTCCAATTCAACAGAAATGTGCGAAGTATCAATATCTAACAGTTATTAACCATGGGCCATGACAAAGACAGCTGTGCTCGCTATCAGAATATAGCTTTTCAAATATCGCCTGTGTTTTCACTGGGGATATAATCGTGATAACAAGGCTCTCATACTCGTGAACTCGACAAAATAAATCAAAGACGGGATTTAACAGAAATGTGGAATTACCGTTTAACTGCTATTTTCTGTTCGTCACTGATGAATAGCAGAAAGACATCAATCTCGTAGCTGGATTAGTCCTGGCGATAGCGTTTACGATTTATCCGCGGTTGTTGGAATGATAGTAGGACAAACTCCTGACCGAAAATCCTCGGATTGTATTTGAGGACATGGTATACAAGTTTTCGTTTGGACATATCTTTAAAATTTCTCTGATCTGTCTGGGCGTATTCATGACAAAGATTATGCAGATGTTTGTTATGTGTTTGATTCTTATCGGGGTAGAACAATGGGTAGATTTCTCTGAGAATGCTACAGTGGGGGTGTCGGATCTATTTATATCCCCAGGGATTGGGAGCAGGGATAGCGGTGTCGAGACTTCAAGAGAACAGCGATATAAGCTTGATAGAAGTTAGAACATTTTTAAATGCTTACTTTTCACCTGTTTAATCTGGAGTGTTGCACGCCCGTCTGTAGCCAAACATTTATTATTACAAACGTTTGAAATAAAATCTCATTCCCAGTTCTCGTTGCTAGACCTGTAACCAACCAACAAAAATCATTCCCAGTTCAATATATTTTCGTGATATTGTTGATTGCATAATTGATGATAGATCTGACATCGAAATTAAATTTCATCCAAAATGTGATTCAAAACTGTTTATCAAGCTATACCAGGTACCCAGGACAAACGGATCCAATGCATGTAAGGACAGACTTTATAGATATTTAATACGGCACCATATGGTCATATTTACTATCAACTAAACAAGTATGGGCGTTAGCTCGTGGAAACAACTAGTACAATTTTAAATCATATTTGTTTTACATACGATATACACGTAAAAACTCCTCTAAATTAAAGAACAGGGAACCGATATACAGAAATTTAACAAAATACAAATAATGTAGAATCAAGATGAGATTTGTCCCTTCCAGATAATTAATAATGAATTTGATCAATCGATTTGATATGTCCCTAGTAACATTTAGCGGAAACGCATGGCATCAAAACGGTTCTAGATAAATACCCTTCCGGGGTCGGTTTAGACAATCAAGCACCCACGATGGGAAAACCACAGGGCAGCAAACTCCACCGAGTAATCAAAGAAAAGTTGTTTCCATCGTTGCCACCTACCGCGATGTCCATCTAATTAGGATTAACCGCCGATTGTTGGACGGAAATCCAAATGGTCCATGCTAAATTTCGGCCATTTTTACGTAAGCGGTAGTGATAACTACCGTGGGATGAGAACCACACATAACGTTATCTGTAAATCTTCAAATAATTGTGAATAGATTTTTAAACGACCCAGTAAATCAAAAAGAATGTTTCGAGAGAAAGAGAGAAAAATCCTGCTGGTGCATTTTTTTTTGGAAAAAAAAAAAAAAACTGATTTGAGAGAAAATCACTTTTAACCCAACGTACCTCATTCAAAGAATGCGAAAGTCAAAACTACTTTGTCCATATCAAATAAATGTTTAATAGGTAAATATGTCGTTTATTCGCTTAAACTGTTATAAGACAACTATAAACCTATTATATGTGATAATAGGATTGCTGATTCTATGACTCGTCCAGTTTAACACTCGTCTCTCAACTACATCCACGATCCACGAGCTATCAAACACACGATAAAACACCCTACAGGTAAATATCGGTAATTGCATTTGCTTCGGACCAATTTACACAAACGGTATCAATGGTCAGTTGATTATTCGGCCAATGCCCAGTGTTAATATTTTAAGGTTTTAATGTGAAGAACGCACTGCGATCTTTATCACTGACTAGTCTCGTGTCCCATTGGGACCCTTACACCACTTGTGCCGTAACTGGTCAGTTCACGGATGTCCGAGAAGACACTCTCACCTGCTTGACCAGGTAAAGGGCAGTCTCACAGGCCCGAACATTTAATTAAGACCGCCCTTAGGCACTTAAAAACCAGAAATGTCGAGAATCATCTCCTGAAGAATCGACAGAATGCGTATGGTAGGATTTCCGATCTTGCGCAATGAACGTCCACATTTTAATCTCCAAGACAGGGAGATAGAGACTAGCTATTGTCTAGTAGTAATTACCTAGCGACGTCCCGGGAGCTGTTGTCTGGGTCAATTCAGGAACCCTGTCTTTTTCATATAGACCTGGTACAGATAAAAAAATATACACAAACGAACATCTTACGAAATTCTCTCATAAAAAGAAAACAACACAAAACAAAAGCAATAAAAAAACCCAACAAAATATAATACAAATATACCACACAACATTGTTACCCCCCTTCCCATCTCCCCCCACCCCAGCTACAAAGCCTTGAATGTTGTCGGCTTTAGTAGAATTTTTTTTATGATTTGTATTTTGCATGCTTTGTCAGGATATCGACAAGTGGTGCTGAGCAAGTGGTATTTACTTCAAGTGCTAAGACAGATGGTCGACTTCCTAAAATTTTCCTTTGTAAAAAACCATTTTAATATTCTGTAACACCTTAAGGTTTATGAGCCTCAATTTGTATCTTTCAGGCAAGACAAGAACCAAGGACAAATACCGTGTAGTATACAGTGACCACCAGCGTCTAGAGCTGGAAAAAGAGTTCCACTACAGTCGCTACATCACAATTCGCCGGAAGTCAGAACTTGCCCAGACCTTGGCCCTTTCTGAACGCCAGGTCAAGATCTGGTTCCAAAACCGTCGCGCCAAGGAGAGGAAGCAAAACAAGAAACGAGAGGATGGTGGAAAAGGTTCATCGGAAGTAAATCTTCACAGCGATGCTATGAGTGACGTCCAAGGTATGTCACTTCCGCTGAACAGTATGCACATCAAGTCTGACCCCAACGACGACTACTGCCCGACAACCACACACATGCAAGAGCAAGGTCAAGGACACATGGTACACCCTACGTCACCGCTGCACGTGACAACAACAAAAGATACGTCACCACTACACGTGCCCACAATAAAAATGGACCCAAGTGAACTTGTGACGCAGCATGCGTGATGGCAATAAACTTATTATCAATTGTGCAATTTGTCTTTACTGACCTTCAAGATCGCCTCTTTGAGTTACCAACAGTCACACGAATCTGGTGAAATAGACAAACACACTAGTGAACTGGACAGCAAGAGGACCAGATATAGTGAACTAGTGAACAAGAAAACAACAGTGAACAAGAGAAACTTAATTGTTAAATAGTTCACTAAACTACATGAATTCTATCATTCATGAACTGCATTGGAACCAGATAATCATACGACCAAACATTGGTGACTTCAGGGGCGAGACATTTAGAATCAATGGTGAATGTAGAATACTCGGTGTACATATGGTTATAGTTTGGAATAATAATATATTATTGTATATACAATTTTCACGTGACGTGATTGTTGCGTGCGCTAATTCGATGACGTCAACATACACACGCACAATTTTGAAATATCAATAAAGTACTATTTTATCTAAACAGGAAGAAGTAGTTGTCCTATGTGAACATGCTGACATGTTCACGACTATATCAGAATTACGATTAAATCATTGAATGAAAGAGTGATATTTAATATTTGTCATCATTTATTGATTATAGAATAAACACCTTTTTACGTTATATGCTGTTTTTTCATCATTTTCATTCTCAAAATTTGAACTCACTCTGTCGAATTAAAAAAACACCTGTTTCCTTATGAGTTCAGGAAAGCATATTACATACTATCATGTGCAACGTGGTAGATCGAATTCTGATTAAATATGAAAAATTACAACAGGTCGTATTGGTTAAGAATAAAACGACACTAGGTTAAACAGCAAATACGTGAAAAAAATATCGTTTTATATCAAGGCGCTACAAACTTGATCATACAAATATATTAACTGAAAACTAACCACACAATACCAAAAGTCATACAAACACCACGACATCCATCACAATCAAACCATCAGTAATCCAAATACGAAGAAAAGTCACAAAGCTGTTGAAGTCGGCATTCTGTCTATATTTCAAAATTTTGGTTTGAAGGAGAGCAAATCGATCCCTTTCAATATTAATTGAGATAAAGACAGCGTTCACGGGTGTGTACGGAGGAACGGTCCACAGTGTTTGCTAAGTTAAAAGGAATGGAGATTATTTTGGTGGCGATTTCGTATCAGACACAATATGAAACCTTGAAACTATGCAACAAGTAATTGTTTTCTATAATCAAATCTACATAACTCACGTTATGTACATAATACAATAGTCAGCGATACCCTTTCAAGTTTAACTGAACATAAGAAATGTAACGGCTATTCGGCTGACAACCACTACGTTAAAGGGACTGCATATCTTAGGTTTCTGTTCCATTGATTTTCACTTCACGAAATAAAACCCTTTATCGCAATTTTATATTTGATTCCTAAAAGAAATGTTAGTGTTTATAAAGATGTGATAAAGGTACTGCTATGTTATTGCCGGGATATGATATTATAGGTTTAAGTCAAACTCTGAATTGTTTTTATATAAAAACAAAATTTCTCTTGAAGTGGGAATTAATCTATATTTACGTGCTGTACGTTGAAATATCATAGGCCCATGAACATGCACATGTTTTATACAGGAAGAGAAGAAAATATCAAGATATCAAGCTATGTGATATATCTTCTTATAGATATGAACCAAGTAATGAGTTTTGAGGACTCTGGATTTCAGTATTCATTATAAATACATTTATAGAACGGTAGTTGTACAGAGGAACATGACTCAACGATGATCTGATCTTTGGCGGTAGTAAGACACGACTAAACCAAAATATCAACTCGGGAGAAGCAAAGAGATAGAACTCAATAAAAAGTGGAAATGAACTCAATTAGGACAGAACCTAATGAGTAGAAAGTCATAACTCAATGAATATAATTATTGAATCCAATGGGTAGATAGCCAGAACCCAATGAATTAAGGAACGGAATCCGAGTACTGGGTCGGAATCCGAGCACTTGAGACGGAATCCAATGAGTATAGAATCCAAGGAGTAGCGGGACGGAATCCAATCAAGCTGACCTTTATTGTATAGAAACTCGACCTTTGGCTATAGGCCCCATTATTGCCGTGTTTTTGTAAGTCTAGATAAGTAGAATTGTGTGATTTATATCTAAAATCTATGATGCGCAGGTGTGAACAGGAAGTGGAAATGTACACGAGAATCAGTTTCCCTCGTGACAAATCTGAAAGACTCAATCAGAAGTAATCTTTATCCTTCTAATGACATTTTAATGCAAAACCTGACGTTGATTCGCACTTAAACTCGCAAATACTACACAACATTGAGACTACTGTTAGGATAAACACGACCTGGTTGCTGGTTTACTGGATCTTACTCCGGAGATACATGTAGTTCGACAAGAAAATCTATGTGTCCAGTGTTAAGGGTCTACTGAATTATCAGTTTGACAATTTGTCACAAGTGAGATATTGAAGAAAGAACAGAACAAACCAGTTTGTTACATTTGGCAGACCATGTTGTCTCTCCAATTGGTATGAGAACAGATCACATCCACACTGAGTTACAACATAACCTTGATTTGTAAGATGTAATCTATGTGCATGTTGTGCCTCCTAATTTTGACGTGGATAAAAACCTGTCCTTTGTCAGTACGACGGTAGAAGTCGGCCTGATAATAGGAAAAATCTTCACATGACTTAACTGTATGCTGAATGTCATTGTTTGAAATACGGTTTAGAATGAGTTTTATCTTAGAGAAATTACAAGATATATGAAGACACTTTGAAAACTGTATGTTTTGCAAAGAAAACTTTACCATTTTCGAAGAGAATAATAAAACATATCGCTTTTAATAAAAACAAGTTTGAAAATCAAGAAATGAATTTGTTGTTAAACTGATTAGTTATTTTATACCTTATATTAATTTCTTCATCATTTTCTGCTGGTGCACGTGTTAGATATGTGTGTTCATTTGTTAAATATGAATACTGTTATAAAATTTTATTTTATAAGATTTCCTCGTCAAATCGTGACTGATTCAATGTTAAGACCATATTAGGAAATAGAAAAAATATGACAACGCTAAGTTTGTTATAAATATTTGTAAAGACTTCAGTCTTGGTTGTCTAGTTACTCGTGAACTCCTAAGGTTAAATATTTTGTTATAAGCAACCATTATATATTTAACCAAGGTTTTATAAATCCGTAGGTATTTATTTAGACATCATTTTTGGTAACAGCAGTTTAAACATTAAGTTGCCTGTGTTGGAGACAGTATCGATTAGTTAAATGGATCTGAATCAATATTGATATGTTTGGCTACGCCTGTGAAGTCAACAATGGTGAGCAGCACATATATATTATCCTGTATATACTAAAAGTTCTCATTCTTGTATTCGTGTATGGTGAAAGAGAAGTATTTACTACCATTATATAATTTACAATGTAAATAAAATCGGGTTTTGCATACTGTGGTTTCTTCTTTTGTGATACATCACCCACATGAAGATTTCCTTGACACGTCTACATTTCATACCAAATATATATTGAATTTTAGATTCGAAAATATACATTTGTCGAAGTGAGAAAATGATATGGATTTAATGGTATGTACTAGTAAATATAATTCTTAGATATATACAACTATATAAACAACTGAGGCATCCTTGATTACTTGATAAGAGATGGTTATCAAATATGATTAATCAGAATTGTACTGTATTGTACTGTACTGTATTGTATTGCACCGTATCGTATTGTATTGTATATTATATTCACTTTAAGTATTACAACTTACAACCTTACAACAATATAACAGAAAAATACACAAGAAAGCAATGTACAATATACGACTATAACAACATATACAAAATATTCAAATACAATATGAAAAAACTTGTAAAAGACTAGAAAAACACGCTGCAGACATTCATAATTGATATCCGGCCGTTCACATTTATGTTTGTTTTGTTCTTTATTTTTTCTGACACAACTACTGCACTACTAAACTCTTGATACAAAACATTCCCGGAGAGACCAATGAAAGGCATAGAAGGCAATTGACGAATTCTGTTTTTCTGTTATGCATATTGTATATTTTTCTTCAAATATATATATCAAAGCGCTATTTACTATCATCATTGTATACATGTTCCTGTCGTACATGTATGCTCAATTTGAAAGAATGAATGAATAATACAAAAAATGGTGACAGTTAATTCAATTGATTCAAAATAATTAAAAGCATAAAACAATAAATAAACAAATGAGGTTTGACATTGTGGTCACACACTGACAAACCCTAACTGATAATTTACAGTCGTACGTAATTAACCAGTAAATAGGAATGATAACAAACGAAAAGCTACAACATGAACCCAGCTAAAAAACAGAAAAGATGTTTAGTGATTGCATTAACAAGCCTCCTATTTCAAAAGGTCTATGAGTAAATATTTCGTTTAATAATATTCTATCCTCGTTTTACTGATAATAATTTAGAGTTACTATTTTGTTTTAATGTCGTGTTTTCTTATTGCTTCTTCGATGACCTGTGCTTGTTATAAAATAACATTAGTTTGTTTTTTCCTTCTAATTCACACTAGTAATGATTGACAATGCATTGTCATAACCTGATTAGATACAAGGACTGAAAATGATACCTATTTATGTTATAACCTTAGCTTTACTCTTCAGAGAAGATGATGTATCCATGCTTGTTTTAGTCTAAAGACGTAACCACATTTCAAATTCTCTAGTCTTACGGTTTACCTCAAAACCAAAACACTCGCTGTAATCAAAATGATAATTGCTAATGCACCATTATACACAGTTGTTGATTTTTTCCCAACAGATTTAAGGCACAGAAAGGTAATTTATTCGAAAATTACAATGTATGTCAAACGTCTATTTCAACAGTACTTTCTAAGGCTGTCAAAAATATGACACAGGACATTTATAAAATTTTGACTTGTTGATTTTACAGAAATGGAGTGCAAGTCCATCTAACCTTTCGACCTATCAGAGTTTTCA